AAGCCATGCAATATAGATCCATTTGTATAAGAAGTTGCTGCTATGCCAGTCCATGCAGCTGTAACTTATGGTTTTAGCAATCAAATAATTATACACAAAAGTTTTTCCACTACTAGCTGATCCATCCATGAAAAACAATCTAGAATGTTGATTTTCTACACTTGGTTGCTCATTCAGTGCAGCAAGGATAGCATTACATACATTTAATTGATTAACATTGAACATTTTCATCAAAATTTTCTAGATTAAAACCTATAAACTCATCAATAGCTGGCAGATTGTAATAAGCCAGTGTTTTACTATTTTGCTTAATGATCTTTTAATTTAAGGAAGAGTAGCTTGTTCAGCTACTGAGCGGTGTATGAAATCTTCCATCATAAAAGCTTTGTATGTATTCCAGAGATAATTGAAATAATAATTGAAAACAACTGTCTAATTTGCTTTGGCATATGCGTTAAAACCACCTCAGAAAGAGTATTCTGCCATTCAGTGTCATCTTGCAACAAATCTTTCAAAACACATGATTCATGAAACGTTTCAAGAACAATATCATTAACAGTACGCATATCCTCTCAAGATATTACTCCTTTTGGTGCAAAAGTAATAGTCTAAGAAAAAAAAATTCTCCAGTTGGATTAACTCTATACATTCTTACTATTACCACCCCTTTGTCTAACCTTCTATTTCCAAAGTTTATCATCAAAAACTAGGTGGTTAGGAATGTTTACAAATGAATAATGACAGGCTCCTTCATTTTTGGAATGTAACTTAAACTATGCCGTAAGATGTGTATCACGTTGAGCAGCACAATCTAAAGCCACTTGTTCTGCTGCTTCTCTAAAAAACACCATCTGATTCTTAGGAAGATAAACTTTAAGATGAATAATAGTGTTATAAATATCTTCATTGTTGCCTTTAATATTGATGACCAAGCCATTTTCACGACGCCTGTAACTTGGATAACTATTATGAATTGCTACTGTGTTGTCATTAAATTCTTTAGGGTATTTTTTGCTGCATACTCCATCTTTCATGCAGTGCAAGTTTGGATTCAATATACCACATGGACCATGAATCATGCAAGTTTTAATGTCATAGTTCACGGTTTACAATTGGATCTGGAATTTCTGCAGGTACCAAATTATTGATAT